ATGGTCACCTTTCCCAAACAACTAGAAGGAAGAAACAAGGATGTACTAAATGACAGTTATTTTAATGTTGCTTTAATCTCTTGACAAAGATAAACATCCCAAACCTTGTAATGAGGAAACAGACACCCGAATATTCCCTCTTGCAACTTCACAGGGAACAGGAAAAAGAGAAAGTGTGGATACAAACACATGGAACCTGGCAAGGAAAGGCTGTGTCAGGACAGGTGGACACAGAGTGCTTAGGACTGCAAAATCCTTGGAGAGAAACTGCTTCAATCCTAGACACTGGTCCTGAACTACACTGAGAACATGAAATGTATCCAGAAATAAACAAATTGAAGCAGTATTTCAAGATATCGTATTTCCAGATATCCTTAGGGGATAGGAAAGTAGCATAGGGAGAATAATTTATCTCTGCTCTCTTCCCCAAGGAAACTAATGCCGGTTGGGGGGGCTCCCACAATAGAAACAGATTTTCTTCATAGATAGGAAGTGGATTACCTCTTCAGATGACATGCAACGGCTATTACAGAGCTACATTCACATAATACACACTCTTCTGGACTCCAACTGAGAACAATTACTAGAAATCCCTCTCAACGTTTCTCAGAAACTGCATCTGCAGAGTACAGTCTGAGATTATTGACTCAGGGACTGACTCAGAACTACTGACAGAAGAAACAGCTAAAAGAAAAACCTTCTCCAGGTCTCCTGTTCTTGCAAGTTCAGATGCTTTTAGTACTGATCCACCCAGAGACCTGCAAATCGATCCTGAGAGAGGCCCTGCTTTGGGCCAGCGAGCACCCAATGACCGTGGCCCAGGAGCAGACTGCAAGGTGCTGATGGCAGAGCACACCAAAACACACCAACACAGCTCACTAAGCCACTCTCCCATGTCCTTGACACACCCTGATGCAGTCCTGAGTAAGGGCATTTTGTCAAGTCCTTACTGAAGAACAAAGGCTTTCTAGGCTGAATGCTGGCCTTCGTATTCAGAGTGTTTTCATTTATTTATTTGCTTACTTATTAGAACTGACTGCATTTTCCTTTTCATTTACATGAAAACCTTTCTCAAATCCCCCGAGACAGCCTTTGAAGGAATTTCCGGTTTTAATACTGATTACTTACACAGCTAACCACTGCTGTACTAATTTTAAAACACTGCAAAGTCACTGTTTTAACAGCAGTTATGGCAATAGTTAAAACTTGCATTTGTTTATTTTAAATGCATATCACTGTGACTCTTAAAAGCACAGCATATGAGCCAGAGCTGAGATATTTTTGAGTAATGAGAGCTATGGAATGTTCTTTTAAGATCAAAAATTTGCCTGGTCACTGAGAAAAGGCAGTTTCAATTTAATGACCCAGGAGCCAGGACACTTGTCACAGTGAAGAAGATGAAGCCTGCAGATATGTCACAGGCATTTCAGATCAGTGAGGTTTGTACTTGGCAGCAGCATTCCCTCAGCTCAACACCAACATCTGTGACCTCACAGCACCAAACAGCTGCACACTCTTCAGTAAAACATCTGTGAAGCAAGTGTACCATTTACAATCATGACCGATGGACTTCAGAGCTCGTTCCTGGAACAGATTCCAAGTCCTCCTGGTACTTCTCTCATTCACCATTGCAGAAATACAGCTGAACAAGCATGTGCAATACGGATGCAACCTGCAGTTTCACCCATTTCTGTTTTCCACTACCCAAGGTTTTTTAATAGGAAAGGGTCAAGTGCCAAACAGAAGCTGAATAAGTAAGAACTGAAGTAATTTATGGACAGACAAAATATTCTGAAGATTTCACTAGAGCTGCATATGGAAATTACCAACATTTACTTTACTTAGAGAAAATAAAAAAAGGAATAGATGCAAACTCCCCCAAAAGGTCATGGTGCTTCAAACCAAATTAAGGTCATGACTGTTCTCATTCTCCTAACAGAAAGTAGCATTGTTTGCGTGCATTGTTTTTCATTCCTTTCATCTTCCCTTATTGTTTAATAAGAGCCAGCACAGATTTTTTAAATATCAAAAAAAGCCCATTTGCTTCTTCACAATGCCTGGAGGCTAAAACAGCCACAGGGAGAAGTTTCTAAAACCATAAATGGTGTGCTTTTTGAAGTCAAATACTTGTGAAATCCCATCTGACACATCGTCAAACGGCAGAACCTATTCAGGTACAGAAAACTGACATTATGGGATTCTTTAATGCTATGGTTTTAACATAGAAAGAATATTTTTAAGAAAGGAAAAGTTGCTTTGTGCATTTATAGATATAATAGGCAAAATCATAGCAGAGGGCAGCAAAAAGGAGTTAATCACCCAGAACAGCTTAAAAGAATAAGTAATTGGAAATTTTAAAATATTTGACCAGATCTGTAACTTCAAAAGGGGGGGAAAATGGTATTCACACTTAATTACAACAGCAGATATGACATCCAGGAGGGACCTAAAAAATTTCAACAGCACTCCAATGACAGTAGGAGAAGTTGGCCATGGCAGATCACATCAATTCAATGAAATAAAGAACTATTTGGCAGAAAAGAGCACAAGATGAGACACCAGTCAAGTCCCATATAACCCCAACCACCAGTGACACAGTTAGAGAGCAAAACATATCCTAAATCTTGACATGTACATGCAGGGATCAAGTCTTTTATAGCTGAGGTAGCATTCTGGTTTTCCTGCACAGAGCCGGCCTCTCAGAGGCTGCTTTAACTTGAGCCGACACACCCGAGGCTGCAGCAACCTCCTCCAGCACCTGGTGACACTTGTATTTGACTGACAGCCCGGTCACGCCCTGTGGGCAAGGATGAAGCCCTCTGACACCATACACACATCAGCTACAAACGCCTCTGGACACAAGAGACCTCTTGGGGCCTCACCACAGCTGACTGAAGCGTTGGGGAGACTCTGCAGGTACAGAGCAAGGCAGCTCTGTTGATCACCAACTACTGTCCCTTGGGAATGAACTAAACATTCAGACTGAAAGCTCACAGGGTGACAGTATCATAAAGGAAAACTTGTCAGCTCAACCAGCATTACCCAATCATGAGCCAACGGCTTTAGAATGGCAGAAGTCAGTATAATTAGAAGCTTTACATGCAATAGCTCCTGGGCATGACCAATTTCACCCAGGCTCACACTAACCAAGCTGCAGATACCGCAGTGCTGTGCTAACTGAAGCTGTAACAGCGATCAGCAGGCACTGCACACAACACTCAGCTAGCTATGTTACACACAGGTATTTCTTTACGCATTCTACTGTGCTGCAGTAAGTGACTGCAGCATCAATACTGTCAATACAACATGCACCAAATCATGTTTTATCCCTGAAGCCTTTTTTCCTCTGACAGCTTCAGCATTCCAGTGCATGGAAAGAACATAAAGATTTCTGACATAACAAATTATTGCTTTACTACTGGTCTTCAATCTTCTAACAAAATCCCTTCTGTGCAAATTCTCCTTATGTCACAAATTACTTCATTTCATTATTGCATTGCGCTAACCTTGCAAGCTGGCAGTAAACAAAACACACGATACCCTGTCATTTGAAAGACAAATGAATCCATCAGTCTATTCTTCCCTTTGTCAGCTGCATGCTAGAAAATTGTCACAGGTTACTTTAAATCAGATATTAGAGACTTTACTTAGGAAGCACTGAGAGAACATTTAGATGGGGGGTGGGGAGAGAGAGAAAAGCCAGTAGAGCAGGTCATCTTGGAGACTCAAAGAGTTTCTAAGTATTGTAGTCTGGTTGGTTTTTCGGTTTTTTTCCCCCAATGAATACTTTATTACTCTTTTACTCCACTTGCACTGAAATTAAGCTATGTTATTCCAAATGTTCCCCAAATACTATTATGATCAAACCCAACTTTTTAAGTTTCCCCATACATTGCTACCAGCACTTTTGGCTTAGCTTTACACTTTCCTCAGACCTTTACAGCATACAGTGAGGAAGAAGGGATGGAGAACTCGAATGAAATCAGGCTGAATCTGCATTTCCCTTATTCACCCACGTCATTTGTACCCTAGGAACCCTCTTCCCTCCCCCAGCTCCCTGTCCGCACAAGGAGAGACCACCCCTGTCCTGCAAAGGCTGTGTTATATTTATGAAGCACAGTGTAACCACAAATAGACCAAACCCACAAAATCCTTGTTTCATGCAAAACAAGGTTCAGCTCATTGTAAAGTTTGCAAAATCAGAGACAGGCGGACTCGCTAACGTGGTAAAACGCCCCCCTCGGGGCTTCCCCCCCCCTACACCTCGCTGGGAGCTCCCCGGTCCCCGACGATGCGCCGGGATGCTCAGGCGCTCAGCCCAGAAAGCGCTCTCTCTCCCACCCAGCTGCCAGGTCTTTCTCTCCCAGTGCACCAGGCTATTCGCTATAGCGGGGTGCTGCCTCTATGTCAGCAGCAGCCCCTGATCTCCTCTCTAAGCCCTCCCTCTTCTCCCTCGGCAAAGGGGCACCCGGACTGGCGGGGGGAGACGAAGCCACAAAGGCCCGGCCGGCGGGGATGCCGCGCCCGCCGCAGTGCCCCGGGCAGGGCTCCCGGCCCGCCTCGCCCGCCGGCGGTGCCGCCGCATTGTTCTGTCACCTGGACCCCCCCGCGCTGCTGCACCGCCTCCCCGGGGACGGCCCGGGATGGAGGACGAGCCGCGGGGCTGCGGGGGGGGTTCCGCGCTCCGCAAGGAGCATCCCATCCCATCCCATCCCATCCCATCCCATCCCATCCCGCCCCGCTGCCACAGCCGGCGCTGCCCCCGGGGCTCCCCCGGGCCGGGGAGCGAGGGCCGGCGGCCCTGCCCTGTCTGCGCGGCACAGCCCGGCCGGCGGGGCCGGGACATTGTCCGCCGTCTCCCCGCCCCCGGACGGGGCTCCCTCCGGCTCCAGATCGCTTCCCCCGGTCCGCCGGGGCCGCGCCGGGCTGCAGCGCTCCTGCATTGCGGCGGGGCCGGCGGAGCCGAGCGGGGCCGGGCAGCGCCGCCGCTCCCCCCTTACCTGCAGCTCCGCTCTCCGTCTCCGACATGGCACGGGCCGGAGCTGCGCTGCCCAGCCCGGGGGAGGCTCCGCTCCTTCCTCCCGTCCCTACCCCGCTGCGCCTTCCTGCGGGCGGTGCGGAGCCAGGGAAGGCGGTGCGGAGCCAGGGAAGGCGGTGCGGAGCCAGGGAAGGCTTCCCGCGCCGGCTGCGGGGCTGCACCGCCCCTCCCTCCCTCCCTCCCTCCCCGCAGCCGCACAAGGGACCGGCGGGGGGCGGCTCCGAGGGACTGCCTAGCCACAGCTGCGGATTTCACGGCTGCTGAAGCAGAAACGCCTCTACGGTGACAGATATGGAAAGAGACCCCTCTTCGTGGCCCCTCCCTCGTCCCTCGGCGCCGGGAAAGGGTGCTGGAATCCTGCGGGAGACGGAGCCGTGAGGATGCTTGCAAAGGTTACACCGGGAGCTGGCCGTGGGATTGTTAGGGGTGTATAGGTACAGGTAACCTGAACAGTCACACATCATTAACAGGTCCCCCCACGTCATGGATTATGGGGTGACTTTTACAACACGGGATTCTTTTCATTTGTCTTTGGAGTGAACTCTTCCCTGTGGTTCTGCGGTGTCATCAAGCCAGAACCTGATGTTTCCAGTGATTTTTAGCTACTTGTTTCCAGGACATGGGAGAGAAACACACCTGCTGTCACTTGACCCATGATTAAGTTTAAGAATTTTCCAAACTATGTAAGAGGCCATTACAAACACAAGAATAAAAATAAGGCTGGTATCCTCCCATGAACAATCCTGGAGCCAGAGAAAGAGTTCTGTTTTCCTCCCATACTTCATCGTCTATTTCTCCTTTGCTTTCCAGCCTCAGCAGCCAGTCACATTTTGAAAGCACTGCCAGCAATTCACGTGAAATAAATAAAGGCATTAACTCCAAGCACAGCCTCAGTTCCTTGACAATTCCTAGGCTCAGGAGGTCACTGACATTCATTGCAGTGTAAAATCCACCCAGAGTTCTCCCAAGTCCTCTCGCCAAAGCTGTTGCTCACACAAGGCAGGATCCCTGGGAAACCCCTGGAGACTAGGGAATTTTGAAGTAAAATGCCAGACACTGCAGGTGCTTACTCAGCACCTCCCTCTGTCCCTGGTTTCTTGCTTTCACGGCATTTTCTCTGTTCCCTGTGAGTTTTATTGCCTCTGAGGACAGAAGGTGTGGGCACAAAAGTTAAAGCACTAAACTCCTTCACATCTGCACATCTGACTCCTCTCAAAGGCCTTCACCAACCCGGTACACACTAAAAAGACTACCTCTCTCTGAAAGTGTCTCATCCAGGGAAAAAGCTGAACTCAGTTCTCCACCTCCCAAAATCAGCAGCCCAAAGGGATTTTCTACACTGTTGAGGAGGAGAGAGGGAAGGAGCACTGTGGAACAGCAGCTCATTCCACTGTTCACACCAGCTGTAAGCTTAGGTTCCCTGGGACACTCAGTAACATGGGGATCACCCACAATTTGCCAAAACCCGAGGACACCGTGCAGTGAGACAGCATGCACTGGGATTGCCGCTTCCTGCTCTTCCCTCAGCTCCACACCAGGCAACAAAGGGGAACATCTGGCCAAGAGTTGGCTTTAATTACCTATTCTGAGTCAGGCTGAATATTTACACTGTCATTAAACAGCCTCGGAAATAAGAAACCAAACAACTCCAATACTTGGTTTCCTGACAAGAGACTTAAATAGCAGAAACTTTTCCTTCAAATGAAAAGCTTCAATAGCAACTAATGGTAGGCTTCAAACATGTATTGAGATGATTAACTAAGACAGAGGAAAAGAAGCAATCAAGAAACACATAAACACATACACAAATAATATACTTTGTGGGAAAAAACAAATACTGTATGCAGGCTAATTCCACAATCACTCAAGCAACAAGACAACACACATAAAAATAGCATTTGCTGGGTATAGACATCTTTCCGAATGTCGAGGCAGTGACTGCATTATTCAGTATCAGGCCAGGTTGCCTAAGTTACACACTCAGCTGTAGGTGTTTTGAATAATGCAGAAGGAGAATATTTGAAGGCATGTGACTGACTAGCTAGTTTCAGAAATAAGACCTTTTATGGTAGGTCCTTTTAAAACCATGTTAAAAAGAGATGCATTTAAAGTAAAATTAGATTGTCAATCTGAAATATAAAATTGAGAACTAAGGCCCCTTAAATTTAGTTTTGTTTTATATAGATAAAAATTATATAAAAATTAATTGTAGAAAAATAAAATATTTCATTAGTTTTACCTTGTCATCTCTCTCTCCCCTGGAAATGAAAAAAAGAACATTTCATATGAAAGAAAAAAGTCTAAATATAGTGACTAAAATGTAAAAATGGATGGACGGATTTTGAAAAAGATGGAATAAATCAAGTCATCTACATCCTCTGAACACCTGTTCATACAAACACCTCAGGTTTATCCATACACAAGATTGCATTTTAGTGTGGATCTGGAAAGAATTTTTTTCTTTCTCAGTGAAGTAACATGAGCTAGCTTAGTACACTACAGGAGAGTAGTAGCAGAAAGAAAACCTTTTTTTGACCGTGAAACATCAAAGTGTTATTCCATCAGACAACCAAGGCACCCATCAGTGTTCAACTCAAGCACCAACGCAGTTGCTGTGGTACTACTGTGACTATGGGGAAAAGCATGATTTCTGAAGTAGCTTGGGGCAGATGTCTGCTTTAAGTTCCCTCTCAGCCATCTACTTTGGACTGAACACCCCTCAAGCACAATCAAGAAGTGATTTAATATACCGTATTTTGCACCTGCAGCCTAGGTGATCCCCAGAAAGCTGCATTCTCAAACCATTCAATTCATCACACAACGGGTTCAGATATGCTGGCAGACACTGACAGTACAAGAGCAAGAGCTGCCTAACCTAGCTCTGATTTTAGCAGGGCTACCACATATGTGTTATCCATCAGCATCAACCAAAATTTCATGAGAGAACTGAAGATCACCAGGGTGCCCTTTCAGGGCCATACCAGCACGTTGTGAGAGCTACAGAAAACTGTGGCTACTCAGTGAAAAGAGCTATATGCTTCTTACTTACGAGTCTAAGTGAGGGTCTAAGTGAGGCACTGATGGGGTAGCACGGAGAATCAGTGAGCTGGAAACATGAGGCTCAGAGATCTGGAGGAAATACAGGCATTTGAATATTGCTTTCAGTGCACCTGACAGCACGATGTACAGACAGTATATCACAGACACAGAAACCAGTGCACCGCTGAAGCCCAGCACCCAGCCCAATTCTGGTGCCAGGGAGAGTTGTGTCTTTAAAAACTACACCACGTTTAAAACAAAAGATTAGAAAGCAGGTAAGCATGCCTTGTGTCTGGACAGCAAGATTATGAGACAGCATGCAAGATTATGAGGAATGCCTCATAAAGCACTATGTTTAACTGCTCAATTCAAATTCCTAGATTGTTTCTTACAATCAAAGTTTCCTCCTATATAGTTTCTGGAGCATCATTAAACATGCAATACCCGGGTTCTGTTTGTCCCCTGCATAACTGTTATTGCAGTCTCCTCCTTCATTCCAGCTGTACAGTTTTTCAGCTTACAGCACTTAATTCTCTCTCCAGTTCTGCTTATTGGTTCATGTGCTAAAAAACTTAAAAATTATTTTCATTACGGAGTCAACTGGCAATCTGTTACCCTAGATGCAGTTTTTATCTTCCCCTTTCCTAAAAGCAGCCTTTTATTTTAATACTCAAGAAGTCTCTGTAAAGATAAGAAGAATGAAAAACTATTAATCACTGTCACAGCCTTTCAATAAAGAAGCTTATTGTGCACATAGGAATACGAAGGATTTCTTCAAAAGGAACAGGTTATATAATTTTCACCTATCTTTTATACATTTCTCATTCCTGATATCCTGGCATCTGTTTAAAGTGTATCCCTCTGGGAACACTGCTGGCATAGAGTTCTCCAGCATTTCACAGCAGGATGGTTTTTCAGTGAAACTGCTGCGCTGGGGACAGTGGAAGTGTGGCTCTGGTGCTCACAAATCTCTGGCAACACGCTAACTCATTTGGAGAGTACTTTCAGGTATGACAGCCCTCAGCACTGCTTGCACTGTTTGTGTGTGTCCAGCACTCCCATCATATACATGTTCTAGAGTCTTCCCATGGATCACAGTGGAATGTGTAGCAGCTGTGTGCACAGAATTAAAACATAAATTCAATCCCAAAGAGTTCCCACTCATGTTGTATGTCCTGAACACCTTTTCTTCTTAAATTCATTGCCCTTCCTCTACTCTGGGTGTCTTAAAAGCAGAACAAAGCCAAAGAAACACAAACCACAAACAAACAAACCCCAAGAAGAAACAGATATATTATATAACTTAACATGATCATACCATCATCTGTTATTCTCCAAATATGCACCCAACTATATATGGTAAAAAATGCCATTCTGTCAAGGCATTTTTAAAATATCAACCAGATTGTGCATCCATACTGCCTTGTTTCAACACACATTTCTTATCACTTCTAAAGAAACAAAGCTCTGTATGCATCAAACAATAAATTGGTTTTATTCCATGGTTCCTGTGGACATACACACTGCTCAAGTAAGTGATGAGTATGTTGGCTCCCAGTGAAGTCAATAAAAGTGGCAAATGTCTCAAGCCACCTCTAAAAATAAGGAACTACAGTTGGGTAGGACAAAATTCTGCAAAGTTTTGCCTGCCTTTTTCAAACGACCTCTGCTCTAGAGAACACGTTATACCCCCCAGGTGGCGTGTTTAGGTGTTATTGTTCATACCCGTGCTTTGCAGACTGCTTCACTGCATTATATAGCATTAGCAAAACTGCAGTGGTATTTGCAGAGCAAGTTATAATTCTGTCCCTTAAAATCATCCTGTACCAGCTCAAGAATACTGAATTTGCCCAAGTACAGGACTCAGAGAATTAGCAGTCAAGTGACATAGGAATACATAGTGAGTACATTCTCTGACTGTGCACCTGTGATAGATAAAAATGTCATCACAGAAATCCACACAACATATGACAGTTACTAAACTCCTACCTAATTGCTTTCTGAAGCTTCCTGTGGTCCAATTAACTACTAGAAAGAAAAGACAGAATACTGGAAGATAAGCAA